CATCCACGTTGTCACAAATGACGATTTCATTTCTTTTTATGGCTGACTAATATTCCATTGTGTATCTGTACCCCATCTTTATCCATTCATGTATCAGTGGATACTTGGGCTGCTTCCAAATCTTGGCTATTGTAAAGAATGCTGTAGCAAACTATGTCTCCTCAAATTAGTCTTTCTGTATTCTTTGGGTAAATAGTAGTGGAATTACTGAATCATATGGTATTTCTATTTTTAAGTTTTTGAGGGACCATACCATTTTTCTCCATTTTCTCCATTTTCACCAATTTACATTCCCACCAAGAGTACATGAGGGTTTCCCTTTCTCCACATTTTTGCCAACAATTGTCATTTCTTGTCTTTTTTATTCTAGCCATTCTGACAGGTGTAAGGTGATACCTCATTGTGATTTTAATTTATATTTCCCTGATGATTAGTAATGTTGAGCATCTTTTCATGGGTCTGTTGGCCATCTGTATGTATTTGGAGAAATATCTATTCAGATCCTCTGCCCATTTTTTAATCAGATTGTTTGGGGTGGTTTTTTGTTTTGTGTTTGCTTGGGTTTTTTTGGCATTGAGGTATATAAGTTCTTTATATATTTTGGATATTAACCCCTATTTGGATATATTATTTGCAGATATCTCCTCCCATTCAGTAGGTTGCCTTTTTGTTTTATTGATGGTTTCCTTCACTTTGCAAAAGTTTCATTTTGATGTAGTCTTAATAATTTATTTTTGCTTTTGTTTCCCTTGCCTGAGGAGTCCTATCTAGAAAAATGTTGCTAAGGCCAATGTCCAAGACATTACTGCCTATGTTTTCTTCTAGGAGTTTTATGGTTTCAGGTCTTAACATTTAGGTCTTTAATCCATTTTTAGTTTATTTTTGTGTATGGTATAAGTGGTGTAGTCTCATTTTTTGCAAGTAGCTGTCCAACTTTCCAGCACCATTTACTGAAAATCGTGTCTTTTCTGCATTGTATATTCTTGTCTCCTTTGTCATAGATTGACTACATAAGTATGGGTTTATTTCTGGGCTCTGTATTCTGTTCTGTTGATCTATATGTCTTTTTTGTGTGTGCCAGTACCATAGTCTTTTGATTACTATAGCTTTGTAATAGATCTTGAAATCTGGGCTTGTGATACTTGCAGCTTTGTTCTTTTTCAAAGTTGCTTTGGCTATTTAGGGTCTTTAGTGGTTGCATAGAAGTTTTAGTACTATTTGTTCTAGTTCTGTGAAAAATGCTTTTGGTACTTTGATAAGGATTTCAATGAATCTGTAGATTGCTTTAAGTAGTATAGACATTTTAACAATATTAATTCTTCCAATCCATGAGCATGGGATATTTTTTCATTTGTTTGTGTCATCTTCATTGATTTCATCAGTGTTTTATAGTTTTCAGAATACAGGTCTTTCACCTCCTTGGTTAAATTTATTCCTAGGTATTTATTTTTTCTGGTGCAAGTGTAAATGGAATTGTTTTCTTTCTCTTTCTGTTACTTTGTTACTAATGAATAGAAATGCAGCCAATTTCTGTGTATTATATCCTGCAGTGTTACTGAATTCATTTATTATTTCAAAGAATTGTTAAGCAAAAAGGAACTAGAACTTAAAGATTTGGCATAGTCTCAATCTGTACGTATTGCAGAAAATGAGAAAGCATGTTTGGAAGAAGACAACAAGGGTATGGATGACCAGCTGTTTGGTAAAGGGATTAGAATGTGTGTTAACCGTGGACTTCTTCAGCGACTCCAGCAATATCACTGCCAATTTGAACTGAAGGAAATGGATACAGGTCAGAATGAAGGAAGGCTGTCAGACTTAGATTCTACAGGACAGGACGATAAACAAATCATTAGCCTTTGAACCTGCACTATTTTTCAAGGAAAGAATGTTCCAAAAGCTGATTCAGAGATCATCAGGGCTACCGTCTTGGTTCTAGTAATCCAGACTGCCTCCAGTCAAAGCCATAAAGAAGGACTGCTGGCAGGGCCCTGGTGGTGTGACCCCCCTGCCTAGCAGACCCTCAGGTTGGGTGGGGCCTCCACAGAAAGCCACAGCATTGTGGTGCTCCACCAAAACATGGGGGTGATATTGCCCCCTCAGTGGGTCTGGAAATCAGAGCATTGAGTCAAAGAGGATTATTCTTAAATCTTAAGATCTTGTGGAATTTGTCTTGCTAGGTTTTGGAATTGCTTGGGACCGTCACCTCTTCCTTCTTTCCTTTTTCTCCCTTTTGGAATGAAAATGTCTATCTTATGCCAGTCATGTATTCGTAGCTGGAGAGGAATTTTGCTTCAGGATCAATCATACCTTGAGTCTCGCCCATATCTGATTTAGATGTTTGTTGATTGATTATTTTTCTAGTATAGCTGACACAATGTTACAGTTAGTTTCAGGTGTAAGGTTTAGATGATATTTAGATGAGACTTTGGACTTTAGAAGTTAAAATTGATGCTGGAACGAGTTAACACTTTTGAGGTGGTTGGGATGGAATGAATACATTTTGCATTTAGAAGGACATAAATTTGGGTGGAGGCAGAATGCTATGGACTGAATGTTTGTATCTCTTGGCCATGTGAAGATACAGCAAGAAAGTATCCATCTGCAAACCACGAAACAGGCTCTCAGCAGGAACCAGATTGGTTGTTGGCACCTTGATCTTAGACCTTCCAGCCTCCAGAACTGTCAGAAATAAATTTATGTTGTTTAAGCCACCCAGTCTATGGTAATATAGGTATGTACACAAAAGATTTGAAAGGGCTTCCGAGAGATATTTGTACACTTATGTTCATAGCATCATTATTCACAATAGCTCAGAGTTCAGAGCAACCCAAGTGTCTGTTGATGGATGAAGGATGAATGGATAAACAAAATTTGGTATTTGGCATATACGTGCAATGGAGTATTATTCAGTTTTAGAAAGAAAAGAAATTCTGATACATGCAACAATATGGATGAACCTTAAGGATGTTCTGTTAAGTGAAATAAGCTAGTCACAAAAAGACAAATAATCTATGATTCTATTTATATAAGGTACCTAGAGTAGTCATTCATAAAGGCAGAAAGTAGAATGGTGGTTACCAGGGGCTGGTGAGAGGAGGGAATGGAGTGTTATTGTTTAATGGGTGTGAGTTTCAGGTGTCTTGTTGTTTTTGCCACGAAAAGTGTTTCCATATGGTCCGGGGCTTGGGCGAGGGCTCCAGGTGGCTGTAGGGAGAGGCTCAGGCAGAACCCCAGACACCAGAGGTGGCAAGAAGGGCCCTTCAAAGGCTGCTAGGCTCTGCAGGCTTTTAGTCTTACACGAGCCTTTTGAAGAGATCCTCACCCAGCCTTGTGGCTGGCTGGCCTGTGGAGGTGAGTTAAGTGGTCGCCATCTTCTTGACAAGTGTCACCTCCCTATCTAGGAAGCGGTTCTCCAAGAAGTGGAGGTCTGCATGAGCAGAAGCCGGGGCTTGCAGATGCCAAAGGGCGTGGTTCAGGTTTTTCTCCAGGGGCATGGTGTTTTCTGTGGTATCCAGGACTTTGCCCCACTCATCTTGGGGTAGCTTCTGCACCTCCTGGAAGAGGGCACTGGTTCTGCATCTTCAAGAGATGCTTGGTGCCCACTTGTGGAAGAAGTGGCCCACTCCCTGCTGAGCCACATCATAGCGGTTGAAATAGAAGCTGAGGAGAGAGGTAGGTATAGGAGGCCTGCAGGTGAATGTTGACCAGGAGATTGACAGCGGAATAATTCTTATGAATCACAGACCCTCAGTGGAATAATTCTGACCAATCTAGGCACTCATTGATGGCAGTAAAGAGCTAAGATCGAAATAATGGTGTTGGCTGGTCCCCTAGGTGGAGGATGGCTGAGAGACGATTCCAAAGATTGCAACTAGAAAGGTGGTCGGAGGCTGTTCTGTCCACACGCTGTTGGAGCAAGAGACAGATCCCCGCCACCCTGGGCACATTGCCTGAGTTTCAGTTTTGAAGGTTATAAAGAGTTCTGGAGAGCGATGGTGGTGATGGTTCACAATAATATGAATGTATTTAATAAGCTGTGCACTTAAAAATTGTTAAGATGGAAAATTTATGTTATGTGTGTTTTACCACAATAAAAATCTCTCTAGTGTTCATAAAACACATAATATAGACCTATCTAACCTCTGGTTGATGATGTTTTGATACTTTTAATATGTTTGGGTTTTCCTTAAGTTGGAGGATTTTATAAATCATTAATAAATGTAGAGATTATACTCCCATAATCGTGAGAACCCTATTGATTATTAGAGCAAGCTCTGGAATATATTCATTTACAGTATTTTTAAAGTTCCTTAGTACCAGTACCAACAAATGCCCTTACCAAAGCAGTTTTGAAATTTTGCCTAATTATAGTAGGATTTACTTTTAAGTTACTTTAATTTTAATTTTCATTTTCTGGAAAAAATGAAAACCTATTACATTAATTATTTTAATTTTTATTTATTTTTCCCCCAATTTATTTATTTATTTATTTATTTATTTATTTATTTATTTTAAAGATTTTATTTATTTCTTTGACAGAGAGAGACACAGCGAGAGAGGGAACACAAGCAGGAGGAGTGGGAGAGGGAGAAGCAGGCTTCCCGCAGAGCAGGGAGCCCGACGCGGGGCTCGATCCCAGGACCCCGGGATCATGACCTGAGCCAAAGGCAGACGCTAACGACTGAGCCACCCAGGCGCCCCTAATTTTTATTTATTTATTTATTTATTTAATTTTGTTTGTATCTTCCTCTCTGTTTTCCTTTTATTTTTAATTTTTTTAAAGATTTTATTTTTAAGAACTCTCTACACCTAACATGGGGCTCAAACTCACAAACCTGAGATCCAAAGTTGCACGCTCCACTGACTGAGCCAGCCAGCTGCCCCTGTTTTCCTTTTAATAGACACACTTAGGTCACCATAAGAACAGATGTGAGTGCCAATACATCTCCTGGTTTACCTTTAATTTTTTGGTGTTTTGTGTTATGTTCTAAATTTAGATATCCAAAGAGAAGAAGAAAAAGTGAAACGGTCAGTGAAAGATGCTGCCAAGAAGGGTCAGAAGGACGTCTGTGTGGTTCTAGCCAAGGAGATGATCAGGTCAAGGAAGGCTGTGAGCAAGCTCTATGCTTCCAAAGCTCACATGAACTCTGTGCTCATGGGGATGAAGAACCAGCTGGGTAAGAGAGCAGTTACCTTATAGCTTCCTCATTAATGCTGATGCTCTTGCTCTTGTTAACCAGTACTGGCTGGTTTCCTCGAGTAGGAAAAACAGTCTCAGCTCTGGTTTTTATTCTTTATATTGTCTTCGTTGGGGTGTTACATAAATGCAAAATATAATTATCACTATCATTTTAGGATTCATTTTCTTTTGCCAGAGTTGTTATAATAATGGCAAAATATGCATATTAATCTCCTTTACTTAGAATATTTTCCCTCATGTGAACAGTGTTGTAAAGTGACCTGAGCGTTGAATCATGTGAGTTAAGAAGTGCATTAGAGGAGGAGGAAGAATGTTCACCCCATCTGGGTACAGACCACCCTAGGCAGAATTTTAAAATAGTCCACGTTTGTCTTTGGCTTTCACACCACCTCCTTTTCTGCCTTGTCTCTAGCTGCCTACCTAATGCTTCCTTACATCTTAGGAATCTATAGACTATGTAATGGGTATTGAGTCAGTCTTCAGGTCAGTGGCAGCTTGAGTCATAGGTTAAATTTTACAACCAGTTGGTTTCTGGTTTTAAATTAAGAAGTCCTAACTCAGAAGTATCATTCCTTGAGAATGGCAGCAAGTGACTGTCAGATATTTAGACTTGAGTACTGACTCAGGAATTACAGTGAAATTTTTCACTAAGGAATGTTTTCAGCTCTCTGTCAGATACGACACTGATGATATATCACACTCAAAAGCTAGGAGGCTTGACTATTTCAGTTTAGAGGCTGGTGCCAAATGAGTACCTAATCCATTATTTGGTTGTGTTTGGCTCTGAAGGTATTCCTTTGTGTTCAATGTTAACATTTAGATGTAGTTGTTAAAAATGCCTAGTAATGAATATATCATCAGTTTCTTTCTCCAGATACTGAAGATACTAATAATGGATTGGGAAGGACCAAAAAAAAAAAAACCCCAACCATACCACATCATCTTAACTTTTAAAATCTGTTATTTCAGTCCTAAGTAATTACACACACACACACATATATATATACACATTCTTTAAATACTGGCTATGTAATCTAGATATGTGCCTTTCAAGAAGCCAGAGTACCATAGAGTACCGGGAAGAAATAATCTAATCTTAACCTGTCAGTTTGGAAGCTTAAGTATCCTCTTGCCTTTCACAGCCAGCAAGGAGGGTTTTATATTTACTTCTTATTCTTTCTGCAACATGCTGTAAGGGTAAGATACATGTTCAGTTGACCGTGAACTTACTTTAAAATTTTTCAGGGGACGCCTGGGTGGCTCAGTCGTTAAGCATCTGCCTTTGGCTCAGGTCATGATCCCAGCATCCTGGGATCGAGCCCCGCATCGGGCTCCCTGCTCTGCAGGAAGCCTGCTTCTCCCTCTCCCACTCCCCCTGCTTGTGTTCCCTCTCTCGCTGTGTCTCTGTCAAATAAATAAAATCTTTAAAAAAAATTTTTTTTTTCAATATTTAACTGAATCAACATTAGAAAACATCTAGCTTACTCTGCTCCCCCACTTCTCCCATGAATAAAGCACTGTATTGCGCAGCCTCTTTCGTTTCCCCAGTTGCAAAGATAAAAGTACACCGGATAATATAGTAGATGCTTGGGTACCTGTCACCCAGAATCAATAAAATTTGACATCTTATTATATTTGCTTCAGTTTTATGTTATAGAAGAAGCCGGATTACTAAAGTTGAAGCTCCTTTAATATGCCTTCCCCAGTTCCAGTCCCTTCTCTCACCCTCCCCATGGGTAACCGCTGTCATGAATCTTAAAACGTGTAGAAATGTTATTATACTATATATACTATTCTGCATTGTTTTTTTCCATTTATCATTGTGTTTTTGAAGTATACCGATAATGATACATTTTTAAACTACTGGATGGGATGTATCACATTTTTTTCCTTCTCCCATTAATGGACATTTAGGTTGTTTTTAATTTTTTGCTATTACAGTGCTGCTGTGAATGTCTTTTCACTTTCTCACATGCATTAAGGTTTCTTTAGGACAGTTATATACTCGGAAGTGGAATTGTTGGGTTAAAAATAACTGTTTAGGGCGCCTGGGTGGCTCAGTTGGTTAAGCGACTGCCTTCGGCTCAGGTCATGATCCTGGAGTCCCCGGATCGAGTCCCACATCGGACTCCCTGCTCAGCGGGGAGTCTGCTTCTCCCTCTGACCCTGCTCTCTCTCTCTCTCTCTCTCTCTCTCTCTCTCTCTCTCTCTCTCTCTCAAGTAAATAAATAAAATCTTTAAAAAAAAAATAAATAACTGTTTAAATTTTGGTAGAATTGCAAAATTGCTATCCAAAGACACTTTACTAATTTACATTCCCACCAGCTGTGGATGAGAGTTCTTTTTTCCATACCTTTTCACCAACCTTTGTCAGACTTTGTAATTTTTGAGAAATGTTACCTTGTTAATAGCAGATAACATTTCTCAGAGAACTAGTGTACTTGATCAGGGTCTTCTGTTCACCTTTTCTTTCTGCGTACTGATTCCTAAAAACCTTTTTAAACAGTTACAGCTCACAAGTAATATGCCTGAAAAATCTCTTCTTCTGTAGCATGTTCTTTCAGTAGTAAATGTAATGAAAGCTCTGTATGTACTGTTGAGAAGTCAGAAGCTTGTTATCCTTTATCCACCCATAATAATATATCTTACCATTGGTTTCAAATATATATTGTTGTGGTTTTATCACACCCGAAAAGTAAAATATCTTCTGTTTGGTCTTTAAATGTCAAAGTGCTCCAAAGCTCCGTTCTAGATCCCCTGCTGTTTTCCATGTTCTCTGTCCCCCAGGTGACCTCACCTAACCTTGTTCCTCCAAATGTTGCTTTCCACATTTTTATCCACAAGCCCAACTTTGTCGCCTAGTGTATGGGTGGCATCTCCACTTCTGTCTTAGTGGGCATGTCACAGTTGCTGTGCCTGCACGGAAATCTTGGCTGGTCGTAGCTCAGCAGTACCCACACCTCCTCCCTGCCTTTTCCGCTGGGAACCCAAGACCTCGCACGCTTTCGTCTGTGAGTGATCCCACATGGATCCCCAGAGACGGGGCTTCTGTCCCTTCTCTTCCCTGCTCTCCTAGTTCTTGGGTGTGTTCATGTGATCACTTCCTTGTCATTTTGTTTTCTGTTTCTTTCTGGAAGCAAAAGATTTTAGTTGTCAGATTTCCCAGACTGATCCTTAAATTTTCTTAACCTTTCCTGTTTTCCATTTTGAAAATTGTAATAGCACCTTCCTCATAGGGGAGGTGTGAGGCTTGTTCAGCGCCTGGCACGTGGTGAGTGCTGTATATGTGGGTTCAGAATATCACTGCCATTGATTTTGTCACTGTGTTTTCCTTACTGAGAAATTTCCTCCACTTTATTTTCCATTTCTTTTCTTGAATTCTTTATTTTGGCTGTCTTAATTTTATTTACAGAAAAGCGTTCTCTGATCTTTTTTTTTTTAAGATTTTATTTATTTGACAGAGACACAGCGAGAGAGGGAACACAAGCAGGGGAGTGGGGGAGGGAGAAGCAGGCTTCCCGCGGAGCAGGGAGCCCGATGCGGGGCTCGATCCTAGGACCCGGGAATCACGACCTGAGCCGAAGGCAGACACTTAACGACTGAGCCACCGAGGCGCCCCTCTCTGATCTTTTTTTTTTTAATCATCCTGTTCTTATTTCATGAACACAATTTTTTCCTCATATCGACAGTCTTCTTTCTGAAATGTTCTAGTGTTCCTTGAACTGTTTCTCAGAGCTCCTTCTCTCCACCTCTTTCTTCCCTCTGTCTCCTCTTTTTTTAAGGAAGAAAGGGAGAGGGAGAAGAGAGTGGGGAGGCTGGATTAAGTGTAGGCTGTGTCAGGACCTTCCCCAGTCTTCTCAGGCAAATAGACTAAGCTACAAAGAGTGAAATGATAATGCATTTAATAAATGCATTTTTTTTTAGCCCCTGTTATATGCCGGATATATTGCTGGGCACAGGGGATGAAATAATCAACAGTACAGGCACAGTCATTGCCCTCTAGAGTATGGGGTGGAAAGCAAATAATCAGATAAATTTAACAAAAATAAGAATACCTAATAAATAATTAAGAAGCGGATGTCCTGCAAATTTGCGATAAGCACCAGGGGACTGTTCATGTGATCAAGGGAACTGCAGTCAGCGATGGCTCCTTTCAGGGACTGATGGTACCTGATGGAGGACGTGGGTGGTGGGGGGATGGGGGCGGGGACGACCAGACTGCCAGAAAGCCCTGGGGCCAAAAAGAACTGTGCACTTAAAGCACTGAAGGAAGTTCTGGGCGGTCGGGGTGCCGGAGAGCAAGGGGGAGGGATGGCCAGAGAGGCTGAGCAGGAAGGTGAAGAAGACGGCTTTTACAGCTGTTAGCAGAGCAAGGGTTTTCAGAGACAAGTTCCGGTTGAGACAGGCGGTAGTGATGGCGCAGATAATATACAAGGGGAGTTCAGAGGAAAAGTATTTTGGGGAGAATTGGAGTTCTCTCAGTTGATTGGTTAGGGTGTACAAAGGCACAGGTGAAATATTTCAGGCTGTGTTCAGCAAACAGCACTTGATTCCGTTTGACAAGAGCACATTAAGGGGGGCAGTGGGAGGTAAAGCTCCAAAGGTAATTTGGAGTCAGTTTGGTAAGTTAAACTGAGGAGCTGTCATTCATCTTGTAGGCAGTGGAGCGCCGCGGGCCCCCTGCGAGCCCAGCCTGCAGTGTGCGAGGGCCTGGCACGGTGGGCTGGTGGGCAGGGGGACCCGAGCCCCCACGGCAGGCAGGGTGTGAGTAGCTCAGTCCGACGGGATGCAGTGGGAGAGGACGCTGGGAAGACCCAGTCTGGATACAGACTAAATGGATGTAGTGAAGATATAAATAAGCTGGAAATGCTCTAAGCCCTTGAGCCTGAAGAATGCAGGGCCATTAAAAGACACTGGAAACCCAGGCGAAGGAAGAGGCTTTGAAGAGAGAACGGAGATTCTGTTTGGGGCTGACCA